TTCTGGTGATGCAGGAAAGAATGCTGGGCTCCCCTAGGATAGCTGGGATACTCTGCCTGGTTGAGTTCTAATCAGAGTGTATCCCACCCATCCCAGTTTTCTCCTCTGGGGTTTCCAGTGTCTGGGAGCACATGATTATCAGTGACCTGTATAGCCATTTCCTTCTCTCCCAAGTCTTTTTTTTTGTCCTGGTCACCTCCCCCTGCCCCATTTAACTGTGGAGTTTTTCCTCCAGTTCTGCTCTTTCTCAGCTTCCCCAGTTCTCAATATCCCTCAAGCAGCTTCCAAGAAGCCCCTTTCCTTTCTCTTCTTTCAGATTTCATTCTTCATCCACCATAGCCAAGTGTGTGCACTTGGGAGTGGGGCTGGCTGAGAAAGCTTCAGATCCACAATGGGATCATGACTTGGGTACCAGCTGCTTCCTGCATCCCCTGATCAGGATTAACTCTGCCCACAGGAGGTGAGAGGAAGAAACTTGCGGCTCTGCTCCATTTTTCTTTGCAATCCTCCTCCTCCTCCCTCTCAGCCTCCTCTTCCTCACCTTCTTTTCCTACTACTTCGCTCCTCCTCTTCCTTCTGCTTCCCTACTTATCCTTCTGCCTCCCTCCTCTTCCTCTACTCCTCTTCTTCCTCCTCCTCCACTTTAATTCCTCCTCCTCCTCCTGAATCTCTTATGCCCCTTCGTATCTCCGACCATCTCCCAAACCTCTGGTCTCAGAACTCCAGTTCACATTTAGTTAACTCTTCCTTGTCCTTCCTTCTGAAAGCCAAACTGCCTCCTCCTCACTTTTCCCACTCTGCAGTCAAGGGTATAAGCACTAGCAGCTACATAATCTTGGCGGTTAAGTGCAAAATGAAAATGTGGGGACTCATACTTAAAAAGCAGAATAAAATGTTTTTAAAGGCACTATAATTTTTTCCATTTTTTTGATGTCTTTCTCTCTCTTTTAACCTGTCATGGTGTTTTGTTGTTGTTATATATGTTGTTGTTGCTGTTTCTTTGTTTTAATTTGTTAATATTCCTCTCCCTTGGGCACAGTGATTCACAGGGCAGGTGCAGAACCTCTCAAGTGCCTTTGGGGTCCATTCTCCTTGTTTTTTTTTTTTTTTGTGTGTATTTAATAGTACTTGGTCAAAATGCAGACATCTAGTATAGAATAATAGACACTGAGGTACACAATGTTTTTGAGGGGGGTCTGGAAACAGATATGCCTTTTCTTTTACTAAGCATTGAGTGTGGGTTTGAATCAATCTGGTCAGGAGTTAAGTGGGTTTGTGTTTTGTTGTTGTTTCCACAGTCTTCAAACTCCTCTAGCATTACTTTGTTTGTAGGGTGGGTCTGTGTGCCAGAGGATTTTTCTTAACATCTGCTTCCCTCTCTGGTTTTTGTGTTTTCTTTGTGCTGTGCCTCAAGAGGAATTATCTCCATGCTCTTGACCCTCTTCCAGCAGGGACTGTTCTTGTGACTTGGTGCTTGCTAACCTGCTTAGGAGAGGGAGTAGGGACATTATCTCTGTTCTGGTTCAGTCTCATTCTCAGGCAGGTGCTTTGTTTTTTAGGTTGGAATTGGCCTTTGAAGAGTTCCTGCTTTTCTCCCAGCAGTATGGAACATCTGATAATGCAGGACAGGATGTGTTACTGTCCCTTCCCCATTTTTCCCCTTTCCCCAAGCTGCAGTGCATCTTCACCTGTGCCCTGAAGGCAACATGGCTTTCTGCCCTTCCCCCACCAAGGTAAGGCTTTTTTCTGTGCAGGAGATAGGGAAGAAAGATCTAGTTGGGACTTCCTGCCTTTTTCATGCAGCAGCTGCTCTCATACCTCCAGCTTGCACCACAGGAAAGGATTTCTCTGGTCTATATCCTTGACTCCAATCTTTCGGGAGCCCCTGGTGAGGTCTTTGGAAAAAAGCCTAGAGATATAAGTGAATTTCCTGTGTCTGTGACTCTCAGGGTTCTATATACTCCTGTTAGTTTTCAGTAATTTGTTAACAATTGTAACTGAATTATTCTTACTGGCTTGTATAGCATTTGACATCTATCCTAAGTCAGCAAGGGTTTGCATTCCCTATTTCCTTGAAAGAGTGTGTCTTTCTTTAGATTCTGGGTTAATTGGTTGCCCTGATATTTCAGGTATCTGATGGGTTCAAGAGAAGTTGTGATTCTGATTATCCAGCTTTTTAAAATTGTAACTATGAGAGTGAAACTCTTTCCATCTTTCTATGTTCTAATCCTAACTTTCCAAAAGATTATTTTATTCCTTAAGTTAATCTGAGATAATTTTTGTTTTCTTGTATTTCAAAAAATAACAAAATAAATAGCCCAAACACATTTATCCAGATGATACAAAGCACAAACAATATTTAAGAGCCATTAAAGTGTTATAAACACCATGAAAGAGGAAGGTTGTGATAAATAAATGACAAGCAATAGGATATATTGGAGTATCTGAGGAAGCCTTTGGTATAAAACTAATTTGTCCTAAACTTATTCTTCCAAAAGAGCCTGAAGTGGCCATTGAGCATGCATTATATACCTGCTTTAAGTATTTACTCTGTCCCAAAGACAAGAACAATGCCCTTAAAGATAAGGATGTAACTTCCCCCTCATCGACATTTTCTTAATGATAAGCATCTCTCCCTAAACTAAGGATTGATTGCTGACCTGCTGCACTCACCTTGTGACCACCCACCTTGAGATCACAGACCTGCTGTGCTCACTGAGTTGGTGTGCCAGCCAAGCAATCCCATGACTACTGTAAAAGGGACATTCCAATCATATGTGATACATGCTCTTTGATGGTATATAACCACTCTGTATGCCCCCACTTCTTTGAAGTGTTCCCTTCCTTTTGTGAAAAGACTCCCGGGCTATATGGTTCTAATATCTGGCTCATAATAAACTTACCCTAATTTTGATTTATAGATTGCTTATGGATTTTCTTGTGTTGACAGTTGGCATGTCCCACAGAGACCATCTTTTAATGATACAAGCACAAAACATCCATTCAAGTCCAATAAGAAGGGAATCTTGGATAAATGACTCCAGAATAATCTATTAACTTCATTTCCCACAAGTTCTCACTGGTTTCTTATCATAAGCAATAGGAGATTTCAGCAAGACCCTGTGTATAAACTCCATGTTTATTAGCATGTTCTTTCATCTTAAATAAAACTGTATAGGATTCTCATTTCACCAAGTAGGGTTGTTACCACACAAAATTGGGTTTCACTTGCCTGATGTGCATAAACAAGCAAATTAGTTATGGCATCGTTCTTTGGGAAAAAAGATCAGCTTTATTCTGTGATGTTCATCTGCAGGGAGAACAGGGGACCTGTACCCTCATATCTGTCTCCCCAATTCAGGATTTGGGGCAAAATTTAAGAGGTTAGGGAGAACAGGCTGGCATGCAGAAACACTGGTGGGACAGGATTTGATTGGTGGGCTTCAAGGATTTATAGTAAGGTTTTAAACGTTTATGACACGGTTCTCAACATTTATGATGGGGTTATAAACATTTTTGAGGAGGTGGGGAAGGAATTTTAACACCAGATCTTCCTGAATGAGGGACTCCTTTCTTCTGATAAGAGTCCAACTTTGAAGTTCCGGTTGTTTCCCAGTCCTTGGGTTCTGTGGGGAGGAGGTCCTTTGGTTCTGCAGTTGTTTCAAGTCATGATTTCTTCTTTGGTACATGCCCTGGCTATTTGACTTTTCAGATTTTCTGACAGGCAATTCTTAATCACTCTATTGATAAGAGGTGGGGTCAGTTTAACTGGTCCTGGAGGGCTTGTGGTTACAGGGTTAGAAGTAACATTTTTTGATGTTTTAAAAAAAGTTTACGTTGAAGATCTCCATAATTTTAAAAAATAATTGGATGTCTGAACCAATAATTCAATCATTAAAAATATTCACTGAGTACTTACCACTTGCCAGGTGCACTGTTAGATGTTAGGGATCCAGAAAAACAGGGGTATAGATACAAAACCCCAAGACAACCACTGAAGTCAAGATTCTGAATGGACAAACATCAGTGAAGGGTTGCCATTTTAGAAAATATTGTCTCAAGCATGGTTATGTTTGCCTAGAGAGTCTATATAGTATAAGAAAACTTAGCAAACAAAGATTTATAGTTCTTGATGTAAGTGTTTTTCTTCCCAAGTAGACTAAAATCTCCTTGAATAAAGAGATCTCATTGTCAACCACTGAATAGTCATGACTGTATCAACATGCTTGATCCGACAGGTGCTAAGTGACTGTTTGGTGAGTGAATATATATGAATGCAAGCCAAACTGAGGGATTTTTCTTCATGTGTTTCAATGTTTCTGTGGTTTCCGTGACGGCTACTGATTCTTCCCCAAGAATAATAGAGAACTGGTGGTAATTTATACTGTTGCACAAGGCAATCATAGGATTCTTAAAAAGCAAAAAACGTAACAAATGAGAAGTCAGAGATGTGAATGAGGTGGGGTGGGGGTAGGACAAGGGAAGACAATATTTGGGGAATATTCAAAAGGGCAAGAGGAGGACAGAGTGACAGAAAAGAGCAGGGGCAGGAGAAGATGAGGTAGAGAGCGGGGAAGCCACTTAGTTTCATGCTTTTATTGTATGAGTGAGAAAGAAAAGCCTCTAGAGGTAAAGTGACTTTTCAATGCCACACAAGACTTGTTCCACAGCAATCAAATTGGGGGGAGGTGAACACGACAGAAGCTGGGGACAAGGAGAGAAGCTGGAAGCCAGAGAGGAGAGTCAGAACTGGAGGAGCCGTGAGTCTGAGTAGGCAGTCCAGAGAATTGAAAGAGAAATGAGGTTCTGAGTAGGCAGTCCACAGAACTAAAGGGGAAATGAGAGTCTGAATAGGGACTCCACTGTTTAGGGAAGGAGTAGATCTTTCTGGCAGGCAACAATTAAACGAAATGTTTTTCTGTTGGTAGCAGAAGGAGGTCAGAATAGAGGTTTTGTGTGGTAGGTTTGTTTACAATAGAAATCAAAGGCCAACTTTCTGAGAGAAAGAAAGAACATCTGCAAGTGAAATGCTGTTCTTGCAACTGCGATTGCTAGCAGTTCTCCTCCCAGGTGGTGACAATAAAGATGGTAAGAACACTGGCAACTGCCCGTTGGGTGGAATACGGTCTGTGTGTGTGTGTGTGTGTGTGTGTGTGTGTGTGTGTGTGTGTGTGGTGGGTTCTCCCCAGCATATACCTGGATAGTGAGAGTGTCAGCCTCCTTCCATTCTAGTATCCCTGACCAGGTCCTTGTGCTCTCCTGAAGGTTGAATATAAAGCATGGGGCCCTGGAGCAGGCAAATGTCTCCAGAGATAACTATGGCTCCCTCTTCCTTCAGATTCTGAGTTTCCCCTCTGCGGCACCTTTCTTTATCCATTCTGTCTCCTTCTCATTGCCTATTTTTGTCTCATTTTTATCTGTTCTTTCCCCACAGACTTCCAGGATCCAGTCTCCTTCCAAATCATCCAGATCTCATCCTTTTACAACCATTCCTGGGTACAAAATCTGGGTTCAGGTTGGTTGGGTGAGTTGCAGACACATAGATGGGAGAATAACTCTGGTACTATCATTTTCATGTGGCCCTGGTCCAAGGGCAACTTCAAGAATGAAGAGTGGGGGCCGGCCCCGTGGCTTAGTGGTTAAGTGCATGCACTCTGCTGCTGGCAGCCCAGGTTCGGATCCTGGGCATGCACCAACACACCACTTCTCCGGCCATGCTGAGGCCGTGTCCCACATACAGCAACTAGAAGGATGTGCAGCTATGCCATACAACTATCTACTGGGGCTTTGGGGGAAAAAATAAATAAATAAATAAATAAATAATTAAAAAAAAAAGAAAGAATGAAGAGTGGATGGAATTGGAAAAGCTATTCCGCGTGACCTCCATTGCATATCTTCAGGCAGCTCACAACTTCGCCAATCAATGGAAGCTTGAATGTGAATTCAGTTCCCTCCACAAGGTTTGGAGTTTTGCATGGGAGGTGTGTGTGGGTCTCAATGAGTTTCTTGTTACTCTAGAAAACAGCCTTCACTCATTTCTGAACCTTACCTCTCTCCATCATAAAACTGCAGTTAAACACTTTTGGGCAGAGAGTATATCCAGATATTGGTTCTTCAAAAACTTCAAGTCTTATGTTGCTTACAAACTGCTTACAAACTCTCTCATTGACTACAACCTTGTGCCTTATTATCTTCCCTTAGTGGTTTCCTGTGACTACCCCTTTCCCCGGCCTCCAACCAGATACTCTCAGCTTCCTCACTCTTTGATTGCCTCCTTAGAGTGTGATTTCCTCTCCTTTTCCATCTCTTCAACAATCTCTGTTGATGTATTCATTGTAACCTGTTGCATTCCATTCACCCTAGATTATCATGTCAACTCTACGACACTCAGTCCTGCCTTATTCTCTGCCCACACCATTCATGTTGCCTTCTTTGAACAATTTGCCCCCTTCCTCATGTCATTCATCTCTTCATCCATCTCCAACTACCACCAATTCCTCTTTTTCTGAACCTCTGCTGAAACCAAACTTTGCTCCATTCCCTCACTCTCCTAAATTTCTCCCTTCTACGTCTATCATATTTTGCTTCTACTAATTTTATTTTATCTTTTTTACTCCCTCTTTGATTAATTTGTGACCCATCTTCTCCAGATCCCTTTGAGTTACAGATGGTAGCAGGCTGTGAGCTGCACTTTGGTGAAGGCTCAGTGGGCTTCATGTGTATTGCTTATCAAGGATCAGATTACCTGAGCTTAGAGAACAATTCATTTTTGCCATCACCAAAGGGTGGAAGTAAGGCTCAGCATGTCTGCAGACTCCTAAATGATTTGTTATGCAGACCTGGGTTCTGGGTCCTAAAACTCAAATTATAACTGTGAATGGGTAAGGTCCTAGCAACCTCCATATATTCAAATATTAATGCTTTATCAGGTCAATTTTAGATAACACTTCCTCCAGAGGGCCTTCCCTGATTGACAAGTGGGAGCAGTCTTTTCCATATCTGAATTCCCAGCACACTTGAACTGTGCTTTGCCAAATCTAATCTTCACTTCTTGCCCTTTGTTGCAGTTATTTAGATCCCTTTCACCTTATAATTTTTAAGCTTCTTGAGAGCAAAGTCCAGGTCTTTTTAACATTTGTATACTTGACAAAGTGTCTTACCTGCATGTAATATGTTCTCAATAAAAATCTGTGTTAAATTTATGCAAAATTTGTAGACTTTTCTTATTCTTTTCCTTCCTAACATGTTTGTAGTAGTTGAGATATTTGATGCTCTTCTTGCTAAAAGTCGTCTTACTCGGTCAAGAGACTCACTCTTTCCTAGTTCCTTAGTGATTCTCTGAGCTCCTGAGGAAAAACTTAATGTTGCCTTTGACCATTCTGATTATTTAACTAATGAGACCTATTGGAGTGAAACTATTGCTCCAAGTAATCTAATCAAAGAGAGGAAGGCAGAATGTAGCCCCTTGCTATTCATTGTGGTTCAGTGATGTGTAGCAGAGTTAACATCTTGGAGCTTGTTAGAAATATAGGATCTTTTTGTTTTATTTTTTTTTGTGTGTGAGGAAGATCAGCCCTGAGCTAACATCCATGCTAATCCTCCTCTTTTTGCTGAGGAAGACCAGCTCTGAGCTAACATCTATTGCCAATCCTCCTCCTTTGTTTTCCCCCCAAAGCCCCAGTAGATAGTTGTATGTCATAGGTGCATGTCCTTCTAGTTGCTGTATGTGGGACACGGCCTCAGCATGGCCAGAGAAGAGGTGCCTCGGTGCGCACCCGGGATCCGAACCCGGGCCACCAGTAGCGGAGCGTGTGCACTTAACTGCTAAGCTACGGGGCCGGCCCAGAAATATAGAATCTTGGATCTCAGACTTACTGAATCATAATTTGCATTTATCAAAGTAAACAGAGGATTCATAGATGCATTAAAATTTGAGAAGCACTGATATAGGTGATGCCTGAGAGGTAGTAGTGCAAGCGTGACACTGAAGAAAAAAAAGATGGTCAAGAAAAGAGAACAGGAGTGTTGATCCTTAGGATTGATGTGAGATCGAGGCAGGGAGAGTACATACAGTATATTCTCGCTATTCACAGTTGTTGTGTTAAAGTCACCGTGAATAGTAAGTTAGTAAATATTGGGCCATTGCTCCTATGGGAAATACAGGGTTAGGTTTCTGTGAGCCTCTCGTCACAACATCTGTGTCAACTGATGAATACATGACCTTGTTTTATGTGTATTTCTGTTTAATGACACCTTATTTAATATATATATTTCCAAACAGTATATTTATTGTGTGCAATATTCCTTTATAATAAGACACCAGCCAATCATTGTTTAACATGTTCCCAATCTTGGGTAATGTGATCATTAATTTCCTGGGCGTTCATCCAGACAGCTGTGCTGTCCACTGTGTTTTTAAAAACAAACAAACAAAAATCAGTCATCATCTCATGAATCCATAAATCTAGGTCCTTTTCTATCTTTTCACAGCTTCATCGTAGCATTAATGATTTGACTTCAGTACTCTCTGGACTTGTTGTACTTACAGATCAGTGAATTTCCTCTTATTTTTCTGGAGTTCCTGCATTGTTCATTCATTAACACTGAACTCATGGCCTGCAACCCTATAACTCGTGCCTGAACAAAGCTTATCTACGTGTGCATCTTCCCCATAAAGTATATCACCGCCTTCTTGAGCTTAGGAACACTAGACAGCTCTTCAGCACTATGCTTCAGGGCCATTTTAAACAGGAAAATCACCAACCAATAGCACAAAAATGCAGAAAATGTGGCACTAAATAGACTGTAAAGCGGACACTTGTTTACAGTGTGAGAACTGAAGAAAGAAGACAGAGCACCACCTTGTGCAACCTGAGCTCGAAACCTGTGAGGACGGTGACAAATTTTGAGTCACTCTGCATATGTCCATGAATGACTGTAAAAGTGTTGTGAGTATTGATTTGGGGGTTACAAGTAAATTTTAACAGATAGGCAAATTAGCATATACAGAATTCGTGAATAACGATCAATTCTTTGTGACTAATGACCCCGAATGACAATGTGAGTCGAGATACTCATGACTAAACTTCAATTACTTTAGGATTCCTTAATTAATTTAACAACTAATTCTTAAGCACTTACTATGCAGCAGGGACATATTGGGTATAAAGTAGTGAGGGAGAGAAAGATCACTCTCTTCTGAGCTTGAAAATTTTGCCTTCCTAATTTGATTCTACAGTTTACCGTTTTCATTGTTTGTTGTTTCTGTCTTAGTTTCTTACTACAGCAATTTAGTTGGGTTGAACTAGGGTAAAGGGCTTAACTCTAATTTGTTTAGGGAGCTAAGAAAGGGGGCCCAGGGTAAAGAGAACATCCAAGAGGCCAAGTGCAGGTGGCAGCAGCTGACGTGGAAATTTTTAGAAAATAAAGTTGAGATAACAAAGTGGAGAAAGGTGAAAAATATGGGATGGGGGAGAGTGTACAGTGAGACCACTGTAATCTTCCAGCTTAGATTATACTAGCTGATTGCTTCTCTAGGCTCCAATCAACTGTGTCACCCTTGCATAGCTGCCATATAATATTTGGTTGGTTGACTCTATCCTCTTCTGTAGTCCTGGACTCTGATGAGCCTAAGGCAATCATGAGAAAGCACCCTTGATGATGTGATAGGCTAACGGATGGACAGGTAACCTATAATTTAAGCCAAATCATGATATATATCCCACTGATCCTTGCTCAGTGTGGTGGCTCTGGGCTAGGCACCTGCTCTATGGTGGCACAGTATATATGAAGCCTGATTCTTGTGTTTGAATGTAGGGGAAAGAGATGCTCTCTCTTGTCTTGGATGTTATGGTATGGGGTATAAACCATGAAATGCCGTGGTAATGACAGTTAATCAAAATGCAAGACATTTTCTGTGAATTTGTACTTGACAGAATAAGTTTGTTCATTCATTCATTCTTTCATCACATGTTCAAGATTTCCTATTTGTATGGTAAACATATTCAATGTGATTGGTTCCAAAGTATATGAGAAGCAGTAGTGTCTCCAGATATTTAAAACATAATGAATAATCTCTTCCTCCAAGCTCATTCCTTTTTTGGTGTCTCTATTTAGTCACCCAGAGTCAAACTTCAAAAATCTTTATAGCCTTTCTTTCCCAACTTTTCTGTTTCCCTTGTTATTCTCTATAAAATCTCTGAAAATGATTTCTTCCTTTCTCTATTGGTAGGTTTAACAACCTCCACATGGGATAAACAGAGCTTTCCTCTCTCCAATATACATTCCTGTTGGTTTCCTAAACAAACACTCTGCCTCAGCCACAGTGGGCTCATGTTTAGGAGACAGAAGTTTCTGCTACCGAGAATCTCCTCAAGAAAAGATAGAGACCCTAGCATAAAATGCAAGGCAGGTTTGTAATTGGACTTGGAAGAAAATAGAACCTGAAATATAAGCTTCCTGGGATTTCACAATTGGAATGAGTTGGCAGTATTGTCAGAATTAGTAGGCAGTCCAGGGAAGCGGGTAAGTAAACCAACGACAAGATGCTCCATTTGTGAGAACATGTAAGGTGTTGGGAGTTGTGCCCCTCCCACCTGTGTCCCATCTCCTGAGTACTGAACATAAAAGTAGCTTGATCAAGTTGAAAGATGTGAATTTTTAAAATATGAAATTGTGTTGAATAGTAAAAAGGTGTAATTAGCATTTGATGTTTTTCTAACTTTTAGTTAGATTTTCATTTTGTTCTAAACCTTTTAATGGCATGTGAGTTTTTTTTTTTTAAGGAAACTTAGACCTGTGACCAGATGGCTACAGTCAGCTTTGTAAATGAGAGATGATTTAACACATCACATTTATAAATATTTATGTTTACTATTTATAATCATTTAATTATGAATTCTTTAGTTATTATTTTAATTGCTCATAGTGATCTTTAAAAAATTCCTTTTCTTATGCACACATGAGAACAAGTTAATTGACCAAGTCTACAGCAAGCTGGAAGTATGTATGAAGTTTATCAGGTTTTGAAAAAAGGATTAAAAGAGAACTTGTGAGTGCACGGATGCACAATTCCAGTGAAAAACAAGGGAAGGGAAATTTCTTCTTAAAAGACATCTGGCCACAGCTAGACACAAACATATGTTCGTCATAGGCAGGAGTAAGAGAGTAAAAAACATTTTAGCAAGAATAAAGGAAAAAACTATTTATATTATGTATCAAGAAAATTAACATTAGTCAGTTTTGCTTTGAAACTCATTTTCTGTGTGATGTTAGTTTGAGGGCTAGAAACATTCACTGGTGAATTTGGTAATTGATGTGGTCTAAAGTTTCAGAAATGATTTATTTATGCTTTGTTCAATTTTCTGTGATGATTTGTAAATTCAATAATTCAGTATTTAAATCGGGAAGCAGACACGGACTATGAACAAAGTGTGTATCTGCACTCACACATTTGTGCTTTCTGCTTTTGTTTAATTTTAATTATTCTGAGATTCTTAAACAGTGGTCAGTCAGGATTAGTTTTTGTGATCTTATGACCATGCATTGTTTTTACATAAGCTAGCACGTAGTCTCTTTTTCTGGTTTATAGATGTTTCTAAAGTGACGTGTATCCAGGAATTTATAGCTTTAAAAGCATTTATTTGTAAACAAGGCAGCCTAAAACATATGAGCTAAGATTTAGATGAAGCTAAAATACAGCAACAAAATCAATGAAAATTTAGAAGGTAGAAAATTAATTTAAAAGCACTAAAGGTTAAATTAAAAGCAAAACAAAAATTGATAAAGGTGATCAACAACACTAAAGGCTTGCTTTTTGAGAAAATTAATAAAAGTATAAAAATCTCTCTCAGAAGGTCATGAAAGATGATA